GGAATTCGTTTTGATGCAGTTAGTCAAATGATTCGACGAAATCAAACAAATATTTCAAGTGCAATTTCATTCTTACGTGAACTTAATCATACTATTCATAGATATTATCCAGGTGTTCTATGTATTGCAGAAGATTCCGAAGGTTATCCTAATATTAGTAGAGCGATGAATTTTCATTTAAAATGGAATTTTGGTTGGAGTAATAATGCACGATGGAGTGAAGATAAAATGATTTGTACAGTGAGTCATGGTGATACAGAAACAGGTCCGTTAAATAGTAGAAATGTTCTTTTAAATTGTGCTTCACATGTTCCTAATGAACTAGATAAATTTGCAGATTTAAGAAATTTTTTTGCATGGCAAATATGTTCACTAAATCGTGGTTATTTAATTCATATGGGCGATGAAATTGTTCAACCAATGTCATGGTTTCAACGATGTTTTCGCGGTAAATCAAGTATGGATTGGTCATTATCAAATTCTTCAACACTACATGGTTAAATTCAAAAATGTATTCGTGATCTTAATCATCTTTATATTCATTATCCACAATTTTGGGAATATGGAGAAGAAGGTTATTCATTAATTTATGAATATGCACAAAATTTAATTATTGCATATCACCGAGGTATTTCTAATAATCATCGAATTGTTGTTATTCATAATTTTTCAAATCATGCTTATACATCTTATGATCTTCCATTACCAAAATCAGATCCTAATATAGAACGTATTCAAAATGTACAAGAAATATTCAATACAAATCAATTAAAATATGGTGGATCCGGAACTTTTCATAATGAAAAAATTGAAATTAATCGTAATAATATGATACTTATTGTTGCTCTACCTCCTCTTTCAACAATTATATTAGATGAAACTTTGATTTGATTAATGAATAAAATACGACTAGAATTTGAGAGGGTGTGGGTGTGGAGATAAAAGTAACATACTCACCCACATATAAGATATAGATATTGCGCATTTCATTCGCTCACTCACTCACACCCACAATGTTTATTAATTTATAATTTTTTATATAAGAAAAGAATATATAATAACATTGAATATTACAGAGTTAGAAGTGAACACTGGTAAATTGTGCGAGACTAGTTGGAGCAACAAGTATGCTTTTCAACCAACAATGAGATTGCTGAAAAGAACTCGTATTATTTGGCCAACCCCATACAAATCCACGACATCCAGACGTCGACAAGCACCAAATACAACATTCTGTGTAAGTTTTTGGTTGTTCATTAGCCATATCATTACCAGGCATATCTTTTTGTTGTAAGACAGTCATATTTGAACATATCCATGGATTGTCTAAAAAATAGAACAGATTAATGATTAACATTATTTAAACTACATCTGTAAGTAGATTTTATATGTTCTTTTAGTCAAGGAATTGATTTAAACTGTTAAATAGTGAGTTTGAATTAACCTACCTATGATTGAAGTAGTAGCGGTTGCTAAAATAGAAAGAAAAACATTTTCTTTAATTTATAAATGAACTATTTACATATACTTATTTGTGTTGTTTGACTTGATTCGTCTGTTGACGTTTCTTGTTCGGGAGGTAAACTAAGAAAATGAAAGCTTGAATTCGAAGATATTTCGAGAATATTTAGAAATGTGTAATTATAAAAAAATAAACAAGATTGATTAGGAAAACAATTAAGACCTTGAATGTTTTGTGATAAGATCATCA